GCTCACGAAGACAACTCCATGAGTATAAGGCTGACGCGGTGATCTTATAATTTGTTTTCTAATAATATTTTTTTTTACAGACTATAATCGTTTTTTGTAGTAATTAAATAGGTAGCTTCATGTGGTTCATATGACCTAATTTTCAAGAAGGAGAAAGAATATAAAATGTCATCACTCTTTATGATGAAGTGTATGTTATAAGGATGTTGTAAGAGGCAATTAAGGAAATAATCACGGCGCCATCGTTAGGTGATAGCCTATATTATTGTACTTTTATAATGGTTGAGGGAATTTAATGATCGAAGATGGGTAACAGCGTTTCTCTTAAAATATCACCAAAGCCTAACTACGGTTGTTAATTTGCTTGCCAAACGTAACAACTACTGAAAAAATCTGTTTATGGAGAAGTTATTGGCACATCTTTAGCAGTGGTCAATTAATAGCTGATATAATAAATAGTTGCCTTGTTGGTCCTCGCCGTGTCGTTCCTAGTATAGAATGGGCTACCCCTTTCTTTTCCGTGGGTGTACTAAGAGGCGACTAAGGGAACTTATGGTTGAGGAATGAGCAGCAGAGTTCCTCTTAAAACATCTTTAAAAACCTAACTGCGGTTCCTAACCCGCCTGCCAAGCGTGGCAACTACTGACAAAACTCCCTATATGGGGAAGGCTGAAGGAATGTTCAGCATTGGACAGTTAACGGCTGAAATAATTAAAAAAAAATACTAAATAGGTTACTTACATTTATATCAACCGTTATCTATTGATAGAAAATATTTATTTTGGTAATGTCTGTTCTAGTCATTAGCGTACCTACAGGCGGTATGCTGTCTGGTGATAACATTGATATTTGATAATACCAGATAAGTAAGTTTAATTTAATGTTTATTTTTATCACTGTTTTAATATGCAATACAAGTATTATTAAAAACAGTTTAAATAATTAGACCCTGTTATACAAAACGGCCACATTATCCGAGATGTCCACATAAGATGGTTATTTTCACCATAACTGCACTCCACAGACATATGATGATATCTTGAATAAGAAAAAGACTTTCATAGTACTGATATATAATATACCATTAAATAAACTCGACCATATATCTCGCGGCTATCACCTAGAAATTTTTTAAGTTTTTTTTCTAGTTTCCCACTTAAAAAATATTTAAGACGTTTTCAAAACTTTGTTCCGTGCATAATAAAACGGTTATTTCAAAATAGTTTACATTATATATAATTTGGTTGATATATAATATATATGTCGTATTTGGAATGGAGAGGCCCGATTCAGACTTGAAACAGGGCTAGACTTAGCTTATCTCACGCCCTGTAGCATATTGACGATGAGACTGACGGCATCCTTCGACGACGAAAAATTCTTTCGACTAGTATATATATCTGATACAAGAATTCAGAAATTAAGAAGAAAAATACGCATTTAAGTTTGAGTAAAGATGTATTTTCCCTCCTGTTTTGGAGGAGTAAAATAATAACTTTTTAAGCAGGTGTAGTATAAAATAAAGGAGTATTAGCAAATTATAATTTTACAGCAAAAATACCTTCCAAAGTAGGATATTTTTAATAAGTTTACATTTCTATGTATTTGTATATTATGCGATTAGCTGTCAGTTTTAATCAATTTCGATGACTTGCATTCGATAGAGTTTATTTCTTACCAACTTGCATTAAACATTTTTGACGATTCGAGCTATTTTTCTGTTACTAAACAAAATTTTTTGTAGACATGGTTTCGAGTTTTAAATTAATAATCATAAGGTATATTTTAAAATAAATCTGTCTAGCAAACATTCCGTCAGTCATTTTAATAAAATGTTAGTTATTTTGATAAATTGTTAAACAATATTTTTTTGTCACGACTGTTTTTTTTTATTGACTTTTTTTTATAAAGCAAAATCTACTATTACTAAGGTAGTTTAGGTTAAACTATTGTTTAAACACAATTATTTAATTGTGTTGGGGGGCACTACATGATTTTTCAGTCCTTTTATTTTTTTCCTTCCATTATTTTTTCTGCCATTTTTTGGTTTTAAAATTATTTTTATTTTTGTATATTTGTTGAGCAAAAGCCGTAATCTGTCAGACTGAATATACCTATGTAGAATATGGAAGTGCATTTTTTTATGATAACTGTTTTGTGTAAATATGCAAGTCATATTATTATACTGATAGTCATAAACAATTTAAATGAACTGTTTATGCTATCAGTTGTACAATAATTCATAATTCTATTAAAAGGTTTATTATTAAAAAATGGACTTCAATCTGGACTTGACCAAATTACTATGGTGTGAGTAAACCAATGTCTATATGTTGGAAGTAAACCAATTCGATTACAAAAATAATTATCAAAACTTGTAAAAAATTGCAATCATAATGCGTAAAACCATGCAACTAAATAGTACAGTCTAATCGAGAACTTCCTCTTTTTAAAGTTATTTGCAAATAGGTTATTATTAAATAGCAATCAAGACTCACCATTAAAGGATATGTTGTAGGTACTTCTGTTAAAATTATATGTGTTCAAATGGATATTTTTTATTGTAAGTAAACAATATTATTGGTTTAGCAGCACCTGCACCGATGGCTATCGGCAGTGACTGTGAGTTTTCCCGCCAAAATATCATAGCGAGTTCGACCACACGCGAACTACGCTAAAATAAAAACTCGAAAATAGCCGCCGCGATTATGCCGCGGCGAAATTAAAATAGTCATACGCTGTGTCCGAGTGACGTGCGTAAACTCGGCTTTCCCCCCAACAGAGTTTTCGTAGAGTAATAATATCTACCGGGGCGACGATGTACCGATCAGACAAAATATCTAAACGAGTGCGATCTTATAAATACAACAAAAAAGATTATATTCCATAAAAAAGCGACATTAAACGTGGCAAAATCAGTTATATTGATTTAGAACTGATATTTAAAAAAAAAAACGATGGCACCAATCTAAAAGCATGTCCTTTCAGATGAAAAAAAAAACGATTTTTCAAATCGGTTTATAAGTTAAGAGGTAACAAACATAAAAAAAAAATATACCATCAGATTGAGAATCTCTTCCTTTTTTGTATATTATAACCTCATCTTATCTAGCAGCATTAGCAAAAGTTGCCGGATCTAGAAATTCGAAACATACATATCTAGGTCTTCCACTGTTCAGCTTCTATTAGAAATAGCGTAAGGATATGTATCCAAAATCCTTCTCTGTTTCTTGCTTCATATACATACATTATTCACTATGAATTAGGGGGGAAGGGATTGTTAGTAAAGCAGACTATCAATCCCCTTGCTAGCAATACTCTATTAGGTCGACTTTCTAGTAGTCCCCTTGGTCCCATCATGCTGAATTTCAATTGTATTCATCACAATGGGCTGACTGATCTGCATTTACATTCTCATCTATCATTGCTTACTGGTGCCTCGTCAGCGTATACTGTTAGTGCGGACGGGGTTACCATTCGTTATCCACTATGAATGATTTTTAGGAATTGGGTCAAAACGCGTATTCATTAACAAGTACCTGGTAAATCTCAGTTAGATCATATGTCGCTTTGTCGTTGCTTCAAGGACTGACGTTTATAGTATCATCATACAAAGGCCAGAACATCAGATTGTTGAAGCTTTTCTGATTCCAGAGAAAAAATTACAACGCTCTTTTCATTGTGGCATATTACAGAAGTAAAGAGCTGAACTTTAGATTAGGCTGCAAGATTTTCTGTCTGTTTCTGAACGTCGTTTACATTACTTATGTTTATATCTAGACAATAATGAAATTAGATTTTCATAAGTTTAAGTATATAAGATTAGATTAAAGGTATAAAGTTGTCTAACGTTTGAATTAACTCCACAATGCTCTTGTTTTCATTAAAATACTATATTGAGACCAATGCCATAATCTAAAAATAAATAATTTTACCTACTATTCTTATATCAACAAGTTCAAATTTTAGTTGAACTTGTATAGACTTCAATTAGTAGTTTAGTTAATGTCATTGGCGTTTTTAGATTAGCTGTACCCCGTGTATTCAGACACGTCCACGTGTAAATATATATAGTACTTGTGGTCAAATTTATGAAATGACCTATTGATTTTCTAAACTTTTTTTATACCACTGAGGTGGCAACAAGCATACGGCCCACCTAATGATAAGCGGTTACCGTAACCTATGAACACCTGCAATGCCAGAGGTATTACGCGCGCGTTGCCGACTCTGAAGAAACCTGTTTAATCCTTTTGAAGAACCCCATAAGAGACTACAGCACTTTGAAAAAGTAATTCATTCATACACTTCATAATTTTTCACGTTTATAATAGGATAGAATGATTTTACATTTGATTTCTTAAAAAGTTACATGTGTATATTGTATGTCTTTGCGTATAGCTGAAAGCTCTACTGGCATTCTGGGGCAGGCGCAGTGATATCTTTTAGTAATATTTCTTGGGATAATTTTCTCTTAGTAAATGTATTGTTCGCTCAGTAGTTTTATTTAACAGGCATCACGCACCCTGAGCTTATTTACGAATGATATTAAACTTCGACGTTACTATACTTCTTATTTTTAATTTTTTTTGCATAATAATAGTATCTATGGATATAATATAATCAAAGATTGTGTCCCACAAAAAAGACTAATTGTGAAAAAACCAGTTTTTTGGTATAAAAATGAAATTACTGAACCTATTTTGATAAACTTTCCATGGGACCAAATTGTAAGTATATTCTTTTAGATCAAAAAGAATTTTCCAAATTGGTTTAGAACTGTCAGAGTTATGAGGTATCAAACATAAAAAAATACAACCGAATTGAGAACTTCCGTTTGAATGTCAGTTGAAAATATACTATTGTAATTTTTTTCCTTCTTTCTTAATAATTATTATAATAAATATGTCAATTTAAATTGTACCTGCTTTATGTATTTATATTTAGCGTTATATTTCGGTATGTGTCATAAAGTCGAGTGACTTTACAAATAAAAGACGTTTTTCTCTTAAAAATGCAATTTATTAAAATCCGTTTTAAATAATGAACATATGTAATACCAAATATTGAATTATTCTAGTAAAAATTGTGTACGTAATACTTGAGGTATGCATATTTTAGAACAGTATTATGTAAATAATATTACTTTTATAACAGGAGGTAACAATATGCAGAATTACTTTGTCAAATTTGCACATTGAAAAATATATTTTATTTAAGCCAAATATTGAAAATATTAAACTAAATGGTGAATAAAAAATAATATAATCTACTTGAAATACCGGCAAGTTTCTTAATTTTCTAATATTATTTTTTAAAGGTTTCTTTTAAATGGCGGTTTCGGCGTCGCTGTAATGTCGCTGCCAAAGCACAATTTGAAAAGGTCCCCTTGTCCCAATGAGGAGCAATTACGCGTATATTATAAAGTTTTTATAGTTCTATAGAAAAGTAGCTATGTTATTATTTCTGCGAAATACAAATGTCTCGCTTTAAGTTTTGGTAGAGTCGTCTACATTTTTAATTAATATCTTGGAATATCGTTGGAGCAACTTTTAATCTTTTGACCACTTGGGTTTGTAATGGTTACCATGCCCTCAGCATTCGACTCAAATATACACATTGCATATAGTAGTTTTGATACATTGGTTAGAGGTAATATTAAAATATTTTAAACTGTTGTTTACCATTTATCTTTTATTTTACTACTGTATTAATGTAGCAGTAATTTAAATATTTAAACGGAAAAAACAAGCATTCAAATATCAGTTCTGTGAACCACGCGCACCCGGCACAACATCTTTTGTCGGGTAAATCCGATTGGAGCAGTTAAAAGGTTAAACAATTAAGTATTAACTGGGAATCGTAATAGCCACTCAAAACATTGCATATTATCATATCTAATAATAATTAAGTATATTATCTAATACACGCTATAATTTCGATGTTCGAACACAATATCGTATACTTAAGTACTGGTACTAAATTGAGCTATTAAGCTATCTCACAGATTACTTAATTATAATAATAAGTAATTGTGGATATCGCAATAAATATGTACTAAATAAAGTGAAAAATAGTAGCAAGAATGCAAGGTACAAAATGCGTTTGAAGCTGATATATATAATACTAATCACGCCGCTAATTGCTATCTTACTTTTTTTAACAACACACGAGTAGTATATTGGCAAAAAATATAATATAAAAAATGCATAGAATACTTTAATATAGGTACTTACATTTGTCTTTCAATTTGACTTTTTACATTCGTCTTTGATTTAGACTTCAGACTAGGTTAATTGTTAAAAATATGCGGTTGTAAGTAATTAGTCCTTAAGATTTGTATACATTTCTCTATTATGACTTTCTCAGTGAGCATAGCAATACATTAAATACATTATAGTTAAGTAGGTATGCGTATATAATATTTGATGCTTCAATAATGAAACATATACATAGTCAACAATTTCATGTTAAGTAAAAGTTTCATGTAAGTACAATAACAGAATACAACAAGAAAAGAAGTACATATAATGTACATTTATGTATAAATAGATAAGTATATAGTGTTTTAACAAAACGGTATGTAGATATATCTACTCTAAAATAAGCTAAAGGAAAAACAACACACAATAAAATGCCAATTTCTTCAGGAATGATACAGTACGAGTCTATACAATACTATTGTCTAGTCGACTCATTTTTCAAAGATTTTTTACTGGCGGTTAGACACTTGGCAATTTATTAATTATAATGTTATTATTAAAATAAGAAAATCATATTTCATATTTTTATTACACTGTGTGATTGCAAACATTTCTGAGAAGGTGGGGTGCTAGTAAAGCACAACTGGCCATCATAGCACAGAACGTGCGGGTTTAAACTCCTTTCTGCATCGAAATTTTTTCAGTAACAGAAAATTATTGCTGGAATATGATATTATTATTTTAATAATATTTGCACACCATTCACTTTATACGCAAACGGATATTTTTAATTCAATTATTCAAACGACAGTTTTTAATTGTCTGCTTTATATAGCACGGGAAATATTGTCATATTGAATTTATTGATAGTTATTTATTATGTAAAAAATAAACCGAAGTTAGCATATGTCTACTTCAATTTAATACTTACGTATCTACATGCGATGGTGGCTAGATTATAACTACAATTAAAAGTACAGTAATTATAGTTATTATATTTTTTTTATCATCATTATTTCAGCCATTGTTTGTTCAGTGTTGAACACGAACCTCCCACAGAGTCACAATGAATGGTTTTGAAACCGCTTTGAGATCGTGGCGCCACCTAGTGGGAGATTGTATACTACCTTTGCTACATGCATCAAAGTCTCGAGATCTTTAATTACTTTAGAGAGTTTATTATATACGTATATGTACCAATTTATCAATGATCAAAATACCAACATAATATTGTACATATAAAGAAAAATACCTTTTTATGAAATAGGTATTCAGTAATTTATAACATGTGTAAAAATAGATACAGTTAATAAATGATAAGACTTTGCTGGAATTGTGGATCGTGGAAAAATTAAATTAATTCTTATGAAGTCAATTCAAACTTCGTGTAAATGACTAGGGTTCGGCTTGGTTTTATTATAGATATCAAAATTTGATACCTGTGAGCTTCATTAGATATTATAATAGCCATTTAGTAAGAAATAAACCCTTTTTTCATACAATTTAAAAGAATGATGAAAACTGATTATCATGAACCTATCAAACAAATTTTATAATTATCATATAACTATTTAAATTTAAATTGTTTCATTCGAAATATTGTTTTAAATTAAAATGACAAAATAAATATAATTTTATTTAAGAATGTTTTGCACAAAAAAGGACTTCAATTGTGGCAGTGAAATCGGTTATTTTGATATAAAAACTTAACTTCTGAACCGATTTTGATAAAGATTTTACAGGACCAATTTGTAAGTATATTCTTTCAGATAAAAAAGAATTTTCCAAATCAATTTATAATTGCCATCAGTTATGAGGTAACAAACATAAAAAAAACATAAACAGTCGAATTGAGAACCTCCTTTTTGAAGTCGGGTGAAAAGCACACGATTGTATTTCTATATGGGGCAGACAGAGGTGTCTGTTGAATACTGCCATTGTAAATGAACCACAGTTTACAAAGCATAGAATTCAACGTTGCCGGGTTGTTGCCTACCGTCGTCTCTTGAATTAATTTAGTTTCATAATGTTTCGTAACACCAGAGACTTAGTTGCTTTAAATTCACACGCGCAATTATTAGCATGATTCAGATTCGAACTAATGACCTTTGGGTCTATAAGTAAAGGCAGTAACCCACAAAGTCACAACGCTTTCATTAAAATTTCTTTTCGTACAAAAAATTTTCATATATATGTATGTTTTTTTTCAATAGAACTTAATGTAAATGTAAACAAAGGAATTTACCCGATCATAAGAATGTCTGCAGATGTCCAAGTAAAGAGTATTAATAAAAACATCGAATTATTGATTGCATGTTTCGATTTGTAACTAATTTCATTTAGAGACAGTTTCTAGGATAATTAAAATAAAAATTGATTACCTTTTTCATAAGTTCTATTGAAATACATATTTTTATACAGTAGAACCTCGATTATCCGAACATCGATTATCCAGACTTATTCTCTACGGCTCTAATAACCAATTTAGAAATTGTATTATGTAATTCATTATCTTTATAGTTCGTAATTTTTTTAGATATCATATTGTCTAAATGCCGTATGTAAAACCGTTTAATACGTTTAACCGTTTGTTTGATTGGATTATAAAATCCATTATCCGGATTTTTGATTATACGGTAATAGCACTGGTTTTATTTGTTTCGAATAATCGAAATTCTACTGTACTTTAAAAATGTAAAAATTTAATTTATAAGATACGTCATATATATTTATATTTTAATCTTAAAATATAAATGGATATATTTTTAAGACCACATTATATTGTACAAAATCAATGTGAGTCTTAAGGTTTTGTTAAGGCGCGGTGTGTCGGCGAGCTAACGGAGTTTTCTCTACTTTGCTATCGTGCGCTAGTCACGCATACGTTTCCCTGAATCGCTTCTGGATGTGGTGAGCCGCGTTGAGCAGACGGTGGTGGAAGGTAAGGTGCGTGTGGGGGGTGAAGGTGGGAGGCGCGGGGATGGGGGCGGCGCGGAGAGGCAGTGTCGGAAGGGCGGCGTCTTTGTCGGGGTGGCAGAAGAAGGCGACGCAGTGGCGACCGCGGGCGCGCGCGTACGTGCCGGAAGGTACGACCACACGGTGCATCTGAAATGGTAAAAAAGAGTAATTCATTGTATTGTAAAATCTTTATTGTACATAATTTATATTGGATACATTAAAAGATTTATTTCTGTTCTTTGTATATAAACTGTATCTTTTTAACGTTCCTTGCCATTTCCAGTGGGTAGTATTTTAGCCACTTGAAAATATTAGCTACATTCTCGTCTTTTTCTATGTATGTGGGAAGGTGAAATTAAAAATTATACTATATGTTGTAAACGTGGACAACAGTGTCTTATTATTATAAATATGCCATTTTTTTTAACAAAACATTAAGAAATTGCAGCAATTTTAAGAATTGCAACGTTATAATCGCTTGTCAAATTAGATTCCAAAATTGCACTAGAACCGAGTATGACAGTAACATGTATACTGAGTATGAGAGTAGACATGAAAAACGTTAGATATGAAAATAAGAGAGAGAAAATATTTCATTAACTATCATATTCATATAATCCTTTTACACTCCGGAAATCTGTAGACCTCATAGGAATCATTTAAAAAAAGGTATCGTTGAAGGACTAGATAATTCCTGTATGCTGTAATTTCATTGCTATATAGTCTAGCTGATTAGCGGCAATATAGTCGCATGCAAACTTTGAACAATGAACAGGTAGCAGGTAACAGTAGGTTTGTACATTTCATTAACAATATATCTAAATGTAATTATTGAAATAAAATTATTAGACTACTAACAAGTGCCGGTAGAAGATTTGTAGTCCAGGCAGCGAGCAATTGGCCGGTCTGCACCAGAATAGCGCCGGGTAGGTGGCCCACGGCTTGCCACTTGTCACTTCCGTTCAGTTTTACCTGAATATAAAAAAATAGTAAGTACGAAGATGCGTATATGGCATCTTCTTCTGTTGGCCGATGTCTAGTTATTTGTAGAGAATGATTGACTTTCAAATAAAGGGAGAAATAACAAAATAAAGTAAATAAGGTTAGGGAAGCTTTAAAAAAGACATCGCTAGTCGGAGAACTGTGTTTGGGATATTTGTGCGAGTTTCTTTTACTTGGTTGAACAATATTCCGTAAGAAATATAGTTTTATATAAAAGAAATGCAACTTGATTGAACTGTTCCAATGACCGAATGGCTTGTATGATAGACGTTTATTTTATGTAATTTATAATGGCAAATATGCAGTTATATCCATGTTATAACAAGCTCATGGCCCATTTGATGAAAAGTGGTAACCGTCGCCTATACAAATGAATAATATCATGGAGATACCCATTATACGTCATCATCCCTGAGTTGTTTCTTGATTTGTAATTGTCATTTTCATTGGAAAAGTTCAAAATATATCTAAAACTTTCTTAAGTGGTCTACTAGGTTTACGAGTACTCACGGAGAGTGTATTGCAACTTACCTCGAGGCCTCCCTCAGAATCCTGTGCCAGCAGCGTGAAGGTGCCAGAGTCGGCGTGAGCTCCGCACCGAGTGTACGGCACTCCGTCACCTTGGCAGCACGGGCCGACATCCTCAGGCGGTACTGGCGGGTAATACAACAGCCGCATAGCGGAAGGGTTGCTGCCGTCACCTTGTAGCATGCCGGAGTGACAGGCTAGAAGTGTAGCTGGCGTAAGACCTGTAAATATATATCGTGAAGTTTGTTCAGTAAAATATTTAATTCTGCTTAATAAGTAGGTACAAAATAATGGAAAGGGATCCCATTGTAATAAAAATTAGAAATCATGATAATGTATAGCATTAATTGCAGCTATTATTTTATTTTTTTATGTAACTTAGAATTACAAACAAGCTGACTGCCCACCTGATTGAAAGTGTTATGATTTTGAATAATTAGCTACTCAAAAGGAAACATACCAGTATTTTCAATGGTAACAATATTAATTTATATATATATTCTCTATTGCACTAAAACATATAGTAACAACAATAAGTTAATAACAATGTTAGTAAAGGCGAACTTATCTCTAAAAGAGACCTCTTCCAGTCAACCTAACACAGTGGCATATATTAGGCCAACATACAATGGATGTCGTAAGAGGCGACTAAAGGAACTTAATAGTCGAGAAACGGGCAGCAGCGCCTTTCTTAAAACATCATCAAAACCTAACTGCGGTTGCTAATTTGCTTACCAAGCATGGCAACTACAGGCAAAACTCCCCAATAGGGGGAGATAATGATGAGAACAACAAGAGAATAAACTTTAAGTAACTATATCGATTATAACAAGAACTATCAAATGCGGTTCAAAAATGAGCATGATATAGCGTAACATACACACAAAATAAACGGCGTAATATACATATAATAAAGTAAGAGTATAATATGTTCATTCCTTTATATTTCTAGGATGTCGTAAGGTAAGAAGCGACTAAGTATACAAATCACAATACCAAACCCAAGCACAAGTGTATAAAAAGGAACTCGAAATATCAAGTTGGCTAACCATCGTTGTTATAGTAGGCTATATTGTAAAATATCAATAGGTGATAGGTTTCAAAGAGAAAGAGAGAGAGAGATATATTTTCTTGAACTGGTTCAGTGGTAAATTACCACAATAGTAGTTGAAGCCAGAGAATAGTGGCCGTAGTCATTCGACTCTTTTACGTGAATCACATAACGATAGGTACAAATAAATTCATATTGTCAGATGAACAGTATAAATTTTGCTGTAACTAGCGATTTATTTTCTTTTATTAAAAGTACCTAAATATGAATTATTTTCATTATTGTCTATAATATGCTCTTTAAAAAAATATATACGCAATATATTTGTTATTGTAATATGGATTCTGAGTTATATAACACGCGTACGTAGACAATTGATATAATATGATGTAATTATGAAACGTGTGTAGATTGATTAATAGCTGATAGGTCTACCTACTTAATTCGATTACTTAGCAATTATATACAGAAGTAACTAATATAACTTATTTTTATATTTTACAATAATTTTAAGATTGTTTGTACCAATAAACATTATATTTTTGAAAATTTTCCTTAGGTAGTGATTAAGTTAGGGTCAAGCCCTTTAATTTTTGTTTCAATTAGAAAGAAAAGGAACTTTTCTAGTTTGGATATTTTTAATTGTTTTTGCAGTTTTTACTATTAAAAAAAAGAGTAATTTTTTTTCGCGTATATCTACAGCTGAAAGGACTTACTATTTAGTTTTTGTTTCGCCTACATACATACTATTAGTTGTTAGTTCAATTGCATTTTATTGCATTATATAATGTATGGTAACGTATAAAGCACACAACCTTTTATACAAGGTCTTCTACGTACCGAAAGCGTAGGCAAGAGCTTGCAATAGCACTTTGGAAAGATTGGTAAGGTCATGGGCAAGAGGGAACGCGTGCTGGGTGAATTCTGGGACCTCTTCTTGAGCTGGCATCGCTGCTGGTGACAGTGTCGTAATGTTGTAGCAATGGCGGAGTTCCTGGAATATACAACGTTGTTTTTTTTAATACTGCACAATCACGTTAAAAACTTATTTACTAACACACATGCGCTATATATAGTTTGTGTAGTTACGTAACATTTTAGGCAGGAAGCCTAAGGTTAGAGTGTTTTCAAAGACTGTTACCTAATAGAAGCAAGAGTTAGCTTTCGAAATGCGAAGAATAATAATACCTTTTTGTGTATTAGGTACACTAGTATCGAAGTCTGTGCGTCTCTTTGGCTGTCTATTTATTTGTTCTATTGTATTTGATTTTTATGTTAATATAACTCATATATTAAGGAAGTAAGTAAATAATTTTAGCTATACGTCTTATTAGTACAATGCTGATAAGTCTATTCTAAAATTTCTTCTTGAAACTTTCCCTAACTTAAACTCTACAAACATTATACCTATGACAAAATTGTAATGTATAGATAATTTTCTATCTAGTAAAGTTATAATGATGGTAGTAATAAAAATATTACTGGGCTAACAATATATTCTGGGGGGAAATGTTGTCAGCAACGATGCTTAATGATCTTGTTGGTAGTCATATACTCGTAAATTCCTAGTGAATTCGTCACGATAAGCCGACTGATTTAACTTATTTTTACCTATCATCCCTTACTATCCCATCCTCACATAAAATTTAAAATATTCTAGCACTGCACATCTTCTATAACCTATGTACTTGAACTTAAGTACACTTTATGGTAATGATAGTTTATAAATAGAAAATTACCTTTTTGGTAGTGTCAAATTGTTCCATTCCGGGGCGCAAGTAGCCGTGGTTGCTGTCCGGTTTCCGCAGATACTGTGCTTGGCAACCTTCTGGTAAGGCGCAGAAGTTATCCAAGTCCGAATACATTGCCTTCAACTGTAATAAGATGATATCTCAAATATATAATTGTAATTCCAATTTGAATACCAGAGGGAGACTTTGTACAAAAGTCGATTGCTTGGGTACCTCTGTCCCATTCGTGTTTCAACCGTGAAGCAGTTTTTTTTACATGGCTGTATTTCGGTTTGAAGGGTGGGATATGGCGTGAATTTACTGGGTCCAGAGGAATAACACCTGAGTCCTCAGGAATGGCAACGCATGGGGGTATCATGGGCGAGACAGTAAACTCTGTTTTGTCCATGATACTGCTCATGTCTATAGGCGACGGTTACCACTTTTCATCAGGTGGGCCATCAGCTTGTTTGCCATTCTAAGTTGTATAAAAAATAAAATTGAATAGGATAAAGAGAAACAACACCAAAAAAATTTAACTTTTTTGGTGTTGTTATCGTTGTTACAATTATTATCCCCTTATAAAAACTTCAAACCTCCACCAATATATTTTAGCTATTGTCTCTTTCATTTGGGCTAAAATATAAATTTGAACGAAAGTGACAAAACACTATAATAGTTAAAGTAGATTTGTTTTAGTTTTTATGAATAAGGAGGTAGAGTTTATATTCATAGCTTCCTGGTTTCATTCCGTACTACGAGGAAATTTAAATCTATTCTTTTTTTATAATATAATATTAATTCATCATGTATTATTAATATATAATCTTACATAATGTTCAGAATTAAAATATTTAATATATAGTGTGAAATGGATTGATATTACTGAGTCTATATTATATTATCTTTGTGAACCCATCACACATAAATACGTCAAGGGTTGCAATGTGTAAATATTAAATCAATCTACAGTTTTATGCATAACTGGAATTATCGACAACTTGTTTATCACTGTAAATAGGAAAAAAAAACAACAAATTATTTCAGGACGGTTCTATAACTTTCCTGTCACAAAATGTAAGTCAGGTAGAAAATATTTATTATTGCATTTACCTTTTCTTCTGCTATCCCGTGGTTCACAAGCATTGCGAGGCCTTTCGTACTGAGAGCTGAGAACAGTTGCTGTCCGATGCGCCTGACCACTGATTTCATGGGACATACATCCGTACCTGTAACAGATGCAATTGGTATATTAATATAATTTTAATTAGACAATATTTATAACAAAAGGTACGACAATACATATAATAGAAATTTATTTTTTACTAGATATTTTAATTAAAGTATGTAAGTATCAATTAAACGCCAAACTTAGTTTATTTCTTTATTTACAAAGTGTAAATTGCACACGAAGATTACATTAATGTAAATTATTTTGATCAAAGATCGAGACATACAAGCTTCTGTAAGAGTTCTCTTTTAGTGCAAAATAAAATTTCTATTTTAACTCTATAATTTTTTGACGACAATGAAACGATTGAGCAGTTTCTCAATGTTGAATTTCATGGAACACTTATGCCATACTTCCAATGCTTCGGTAATTCATTTGTGTATAAATAATGTTGAATTTATTATGTATGTCGTTATTCATACACATTTCTTATTCACGCTAGTACAGTCACTGGGAGGTACGGTAGGTAAGGATCTTTAGGTACTTTTTAATAAAAAAAAAGTATCATATTTTATTCAAGGATATTATGGTTTATTTGTGTACCAAATTTCATTCAAATCAATTCAGCCGTTTAAGTGTGTTTGAATAACATATATTCAAATGTCTTATATATATTATTTATATTTATTTATGTGTGACTCATGTAAAGAAAGAGTGATTGTTTCCTGTTGACTCTTTTGTCTAGCTCTACCTTTAGAATAAAAAAGGCATAACAATATTTAATATTACTTTTTTGTTCGCTACTTCGTATCAGAAGTTGTAAAATCACTTAAATAGATTACGTCTAGATGGCATCAAGATAAAATACACCAAACACACCATTTTAAGTTACACATTCAGGATCATAAGTAAGAAAACTGTATCCAATTTGGAGAAATAGTTTATATGTGATGACGGAACAAACATACAGACAGAAAAAAATCTAATAATTTGGCATCTATTAGTTTCATATTGATTTTTCTTAAATATCTCCCATGGACAGACATCGACTAGTTACAATTTTATTATAAGAGTAAAATAAGGTAAAATAGATAGAATAAAGTGGATTATTGTATCTCTGAAAGACGATACATGCAAAATGGTGGTTCACCTCGTTTTGCACAATATGAATAAAACATACGGTCGTACCCCGAGTTAGCTGAAGGTCTGGCCCTGACACTATTTTGATGATAAGTAGCATTTTTAAAATACATACAAATTATTTGTCGTTACAAAAAACGTTTTAAAACTGCAGGTATTTAAGTAGCGACATTAGAAATAGGAATTTATTACATTTTTTTTTTAATAAATGAGGCAATAGAAGAACTAGGACGAATATTATAAATACGTACGAGTGTTATCAATAAGTACTTATTTATTAAATTCTTCGCCTATTATAAACCACATAATTTTTTTATTACGGTTTACATTTCTAAACATTTTTAATCATTATGCCTATTATAGTCTGAATGTATGAATAAACAAAAGATACAAAATAAAAATAGATAAGAGTTTCATAATATAATGAAAGTAACGGTAATCTGAAATGGACAATCAAAAGTGTTGATGTGATAACGAGACCGTTAACAGTGACCACATTATCGCCTCGCATCACTGTCATGCCGTCATACTCGTGGAAGTTCGTTAATCGCATATGACGTCATGTTCAATCAAACTCGCCACGCAGTGTTTATTGTATTTTCGGCTATTATGGATTCGTTATATGTTATATTATTATATACCCACTACAATGGATGTTATCAGGTCATTACTATATTGACACGCTAACCGTGATTGACTGACATCATTAGATATTTCAGGTAAGTAGTCGGTAATACTCAGAAATCCATAAGGGTTTTTGAGTATAACAAATATAGCTATATTCTGAAGACAGACTTTTTTGAAACTTTGTTTGCTGTCAAGAAAAGAAAAAGATTTTCCTATAATATAATAGGATAATCTTTTTTCAATATCGTTGTTCCATGTTATGTTATCGAGTCTTTTTGTTTTCTAACTTTTTTTTTTAATACGTAAATAATTATATGTGTTTTTACGTATCGGTTAGCAGATACACAGGTATTTCTAGGGTGAATCGTCAGCTTATTTGCATAATAAGTCTTTATGGAGTTAAAAAAAAACACTACAATTCATACTGAACAAAAAAAGTTAAAAGGTAAATTAACTTGTTCTATCAACACGTTTAGAATAATGATCTGCCAAATTCAATGACTTTAATAACACGGAAGACTAGTTTAATTTTCAACAATTAACATACTAACCATTAACCATGGTTCGGCCATTTAACAAGTAACGAGCGCACATTTAAAAATGCGCAAATGGGTAGATATTGTGAATTATTAATATGTGACTCTATTCACATCTATCTATAATAATGTAAATACAGTATAAAATATGGCTGTTGGATTTGCCCATAATTTGTCGTTCTGTCAATGAGCAGTCTTATTCTAACTAGTCTGCAACAACAATTTAGACGGTAGGGATTCCGACGCAGCTCTCTTCCGGGAAAAATGCAGAAAGCGGTGCTCTTAGATACTGCTTTCATAGTACTCCGGCTCCTCCGAACCCCGGCCGACTGTGCTTATGCCAGAGATTAGTTTGCCATCCCTCATAAGAGGGGAGATGTGAATTTTGGAAATAATAATAATAAAAGAAATGCAATAAAAATAATAATAATAATATATTTAAAACAATAATATTAATTAGTTCAGTTAAAAGATACTCTAATCTTGTAATTTACTTTTGATATAAGTTTTATATTAAATTAATTTAATAAGGAATTAATTTAAAGCGGTCTGAAGTTATATACACGCAACAATAGATTATAAATATGACAGTGACTGTGGGCTTTGAGCTAAATACCAAACGTTTATAATGACGAAATGCAAGCTATGAGTCATTGTAGTATCTGGTACATAAATACGTAACTGGCAATGATCAGGCACCATTTTAGCTTAAATTAAGTGTAAAAACCTAAATTTACATACAGAAAATATTCCGTACAATTAATTTATTTCAAATTAAATGTATCCATCCCAGTCTCAGTAAAATGTTAAGTATTTAAAGACGTAAATGTTATTTAAACTAATTGAAAGATGAGTTAATTTTTCAATTTAGGTAATCACTAGCGACCCGTCCCTGCTTCGCACGGGTGCAATGCTGATGCTAAATAGCGCCGTCGGCCCTCGTTGCATTAGAAACCTCTAAAATTATCAATGTTTTTCTACTATCTTATGCATGTATTATACATATTACCTACTACCTACCGGTTGATTTACTCTATTTATTAAAAAAATCAGCATTAAAATCCGTTGCTTTAAAGATCTAAATATATAATATACATAAATACATAATATAGGGACAGACGGACGGGAAGACGACTTTATATTTTGTAGTTTATGTACCATGGATATAATATTTAATTTTTAATACAATATTGATGATTTATAATTTATGTAAATATTTATTTTAACTTCTGTTTAGCACTACTACTGCCCACTCACTACTTCCTATGCCACTGTGCTAGGTTGTCTGGAAGAAATCTCTTTTAAAGATAAGTTCGCCTTTGCTAACATTGTTATTAACTAATTGTTGTTACTGTATGTTTTAGTGCAATAAAGAAATATATATATACTATATATATTAATTTGGTAACTCAAGATGCAATGTGATTTATGATGCAATGTAAGTTAAATTGCTTATCATTAATTTCATTGTGTAGCAATTATAATGCATAATGCAATAAAATGATTTAACATCAGTAAATTTTAGTTCAATGATTTCGTATATTTCTAAGAAATAAAGCCAGCGCTATAAAAACAGATATTTATAAGGGATGATAATGGAATTCCGATTCCATCTGTGTTAACGGTTTACGTTGGTAGGGGATGAGTGAGGAATGATGGGTGAAAAGGTAGATCAATGATTTCATCATGATTAATTCACCTGAAATTAAGTACGATAGTTTCTAGAGGGGAATCACGGGGAGGTCTACCTGGTCTACATTGATAGCAATGGAGCTGGTAGTCCTCATTACTACCACAACAGGCGAGCTTAACTCTGTAAGAGTAAAAATAACTATAAAAAATAATAACAAAAATATAAATTCCGTAAAGTAACTACGTAACAGTTAAATACCTAACTTAATCATAAGTACTTGATAGTCTCTGTGATGTGAACAGTAAGGATTAAGTTAATTATAAGTAGGTATATTGTGAGTTTTTATGATTAAGTTACTGGTGGATTCATAAATAAATAAATAAATAAAATGTATGTATATCGATGTATGTATGCGATGTACAAATGCAGTGAAAATAACACTATTTAAAGCGTATTGTGCATCGTTGTATTCGGCGAGTCAGTGGTTCCGGTATACTCGGGGGGCCTGCAATGCTTTGCGTATCCAATTTAATAATAATTTCAGGTTCCTGTTGCGGCTCCCGTGCTTCTGTAGCACCTCAGCGATATTTGCCAACGCTCGCACAGATAGTTTTGACGCAGTCTGGCGTAAAACGAAGCTGTCTTTAGCTTCGTTTTTACGTCGAATACGCGGGAGTAGCAACAGTATCCTGAACATGTTTGTTAATAAATTAGATAGTCCTCTCGTGAAAATGCTCGCCGAGAGGACTAGATCATTATTAGTAATTAAGTATTAACATAGTTTTTAAGTATATTGACTAACAAAAATGGATCCAAGTTATCTAAAAATAAATAAAATAAATAAATATCGTTTTACATCAAGTTTTATTCTTCTACGTAATGAGATGTGGTGCAGTTCATGAGAACGCACATGACGTGTCCCCTTGATTCTCGTTGCGTGTGTACAATTAATTATCTCAATATCAAGTTGCTGGTAATTCTACACTGGTTTTCCTATAAATATAATGTTACAATATCCTTTATCTACATTTAAAATTAAAAATGTTTACACCACACGCTCTGGTATAGATATTTTATAATAATTACGTATCGTCTACGTGTGTTGTTTGTAGTGTATTTTTT